AACTCTTACATAACATCACATCTTAATTCGAATTAAAAACTCGAATTAACGAACTAAACAGGCCATGAGAATCTTCCCTCGACTCACCTCATCCATATTTTGAAGTCATATTTTATGTTATGGTTAGATAGTTTCTAAAAAATTATTAGTTATGTCGAAAAATGTGAAACCGTGAAAGTCAGGTATATCTGGGTATGGAGGATTGGTCCTCAGTAATAACTAGTTTTACTAGTCATTAGATAGCAAGTGCTGATCTAGATAGATTTTGGGTACAAAAAGTTGTACTCTGACCTTGTATTAATTTTTTGGAGCCAAGAAGCATAAATCTATTCTCTAAGCATCTCAAACTCTTACATTGCCTTAAATCGTTTTTAAGAAAGAAAATTCAAACTTGGAGCCAAATTTGTCTTAAATCTAGCATGTTTCCTCTTGCATCTCCTCGGCAGCTTTCTTTTATAAAATCCTTAGGAGAGTCCTTTTGAACTTGGATTTTTTATGCTTTGTCATAATTGAGGTGTACGGATCCTTATTAAAATTTAGGCTTCGTTCATTTCGCGGATTCAAGTTTTTAATTTGAGTTGAGATGTGACATTTTCTGAGAGCTTTTTACTGTAAAAACCTAAAACTGAAAACTCGAATCGGTGAAATAAACGAGGCCTTAATTGCGAGTATAGAAGTTAAGAATTTGGTGATCGTTTGTCAATTTCCTTTTAAGTATTGGTGGTTTGTACAACTTGCGGTGTCTTTTTTTTTAAAGGAAAATTTTATTGTAAATTTAACATATTACATAGTTAAATAAAGTTGTAAATGACCACTAATTATAAGAGAATTTAACTCTAAATATTAGTTGAATTCACCCGTAAAGATGAATAAAGTACAAAAATAAATATAAGTGTAGAGACTCGATAAGAAAAAACTTGCTTGACACAATCAACTTGTAGTGTCTTGAGTAGAAGAAGTTATTGGTTGTAAATATGTGATCGTGTTGAAAGATAATTGATCTATAGTAAAAGAAGTCAAATGGTATTTACTCGGTGACAATAGATATAGGTATTTTGTCGTAATTAGTGTTTGCACTCGTTTTCCTTTAAGTGCTTGTTTTGGTTGTTATTGCTTGATTCTTTATGTGTTGATAGCTAGCCACGAGTTTATTTAAGCGCAAATTGATCGATCAACTTTAAGAATTTGTTAGTAAAAAGTTTTAGAAGTCACTCATTCTTGATGGTCAATATTATTATTTTTTTGTTATATATATATATATATATACACTGTGTTGCCTTCCAGCTTTTTTTGCCTTTATATTGTAGTTTTGTTTCTTATTTAATAAATTGAGTGGAGATATAAATATATATATATATATATTTATATATTTAAAAAAAGGAGTGAAGACAGAGTGTAAAATGAGAGTTTTAGTGGTTTTAATATTATTAGGATGTACTAAGGTTCCTGGAAGCTAATTATTCTTCAAAATGTGGAAAAAAAACAAAAAACATGTTTGCACGGGTTTCCAATTAGTTAAACGTTTCTTTCTTCTTTCCCTCAACCAACAATTGGTATCCTTTTTAACTAGTGTTAATGAGTGAGTTTGTATCTTTTTTCTTTTGATAATAGAGTTTGTATCTTTTATTAAAAACATTTTCCTTGCGGCTCTTAGATAATTTGGCCAATAGCCTAGCATTGAGAAATTCTGGGTAAAAAAAGTTCAATAATCCTATCTTAAACCTTCATTTTCGTCATAAAGTCCAAGCTCAAAAACTTAGAACGGAACTATCCATTTTCCATCATTCTGGCGAGTTGTAGCTGCCATAGTTTCTTATTTTTATTTTTCATTTTTTTTAATAAGCAATTTCTTTTTTTTTTTTGGTTATACTACTACACTCATTTCTTGTTTTTGCTTCGATGCTTGATCTTAGGTTAAAAAAAAAAAAAATCTACAGAGAAGTTCAGCCTACATCGAAAGAAAAATTTTCTTAATAAAAAAAAAGATAAAAATTTTCTTTGGATATGCATCAAAAGGGAGCGTCAAACCAATTTTTTTTTTTTCCTTTTTTGCAAAAGTTGTTAAAACTTGACAAATTTTGAGACTTGAGGGACGCATAAACATATAAATTAAAGGTTAGGTCCTTTCAAATTTATTTGTTTCATATGTTTGGACTTGGTCATTTTTTATACCATTATTATTGATTGGTTTAGAGAGAGAGTGAGAAGGTCCTTAGAGAGTAGAGGTTGGCCGAAGCTCCGGCATCGCCTTTGGGCGTGTCGCCAGACTCCTGGCCGTGAAATTTGGCCCTCCGACTCATCTCGTCGTGGGCTTCTCATTAGTGGTGGTGGTGTGCAATGTGGTGGCTCCGTTTGGATAGATCTAAACCAGTTAAGAGCTTGGAAGCCGAATGGACGATCTCCTTTCTCAAGAGAGTTTTCCGCTTGGTGGCTGAGATCTCTTCGCTGACTATCTTCCTAATTGATTCTTTGGCCGAACGCCCTTCACCGGAGGTTTCTACCTGCGATGGTTAGATATTTGTGTCTTTTTGTAACTTTTATTTTTGTAATAAGGTTGGTGGTTTCTCCACTCAATCCTTATCTGGTTTGTTATTTTTTGTTAGATTTAGGTGTTCGGCTTAATGCCGATAGGGTGGCCTCGGTCCGATTATAATTTTTTCTATGCCGTGTAGATGTTCTCTTTCTGTGGGTTTTAATGATCTGCTCCTCCAGTGCTCGACAACTTAGGTTGAAGAGAGGGGGTTTTCTGCAGTCGAGCTTTTAGTCCGCTCATTGTTAGTGTGCCGAGGTACTTTCCCAGTTTCAGGCCTCAGGCATGTGTTTGTCTCTCTAATAGGTTAGCATTGTACCAAGACGACTGTTTATTTGTATTTTAATGAAATGTAATTTTTCCTTAAAAAAAAAAGGCCGCATAAACATACGAATTTGGAAGGCAAATTGCAATGGAATCCAATCTCTTGGTAGTTTAGCATTGTCATGTTATCGTGTCATTTTCTTCCTGCCTTCACATATAAAGGAACCTGTAAATAGCAATAGGTTAAGAAACTCATTTGTCATCCACCCTTTTAGAAAATATGATATTCATGTTTTTTCCCTCTTCAATTTGTTTGTTATCTTTCGAAAAGAATATTGTAATTTTTTTAGCCAAATCATTCAATAAACGTCACGAGTTAAGAAGAAAGCAAAATTTTTTAGTCACAACTATAGTCCAAAATGTGATGAAGCAAATTCAGCAAGTGTATTGTGCGTGGGCTATTTTTATTTTCCTGTAATAAGAATAAAGTGAAACGAATCAATTCATCTCTTGATAAAGTTGCCACAATTGAAAATTTTGAACGAACTATAGGGACAAGTTTACCTCTTAATTCTTAGGTTTTTACCTTCTAATTTTTGTCTGTTTTTATTGTGGTCTATTACTTGTCTATTTGAACTTGTGTTGTTGATCTTTCATTTTTATGTTGGTTCATGATTTACAAGACTATTGTTGAATTTGAAGTTGAATTGATTAGTTTCGTTTGTTAATTTTTCCTTCTTAAAGCCAGCACGGCTTCATCTGGGTGGGTTAATTTTAATATTTGGGTTGATTTTTGGGCTTTAAACGAAACTGCCACATATTTTAGGTTTAGATTGATATATACTAAATGGCATAAAAGAATAACACGATCATGTCATCACATTACTGTATTTAAAATACTAAATATATCCTCAAGATATCAATATATGTTTAGGACCGTTTAGTTTATTGATTCGAATTTTTAATTTGAATTGAGATATGATTTTATATAAGAATTTTTTACTGTAGTAAAAAAATTAGATGTGACTGTCTGTGAAAATTTTTTACTATAACAAAATTTAAATTCTAAACTCGAATCAGCGAAATGAACGGAAGTTAAGATATCAATAAGTACCCCACTGTAAAACCGGTACGACGGTATCCAGTGGACAACCACCATTATTGATAGTAGTAGTCGTCGGCATCTACCAACCACTGATGCCAACTGAGTCACTGGTATTTGGTCAAGATACCGATTGGTATCCGCTAAGATACCAATTACGGATTGATAACCACCAAGTCACTGACCGGTAACCACCTAAATCTGCCAAAAACCACCGTTACCGATGGTCGCCAACCGGAAAACTAAATAACAAAAAAATCACAAAAACAAATAAAACATCCACAGAATCCACAAATACGACATAAAAATTACAAAAATCCAAATATAATGAACTAAAAAAAAAATCAATTGTTATCGCGTAGATGTAGCAGGGACGACGCTCAGTGGGAGAAATCCATCTTCTCTGCTGAGAAAGCTGGTGAGGCCGCCACTCACAAACTTGAGGTGAAGATCTCCCAAATCTGAAGCAGCTACTAGCGCAGACAAGATCAGGCGAAGCTTGCAAGGCGGATCCCAGAGCTAGCGGATCTGGTTAGGAGTGTGCTCAGGCAGCGACGACAAATCTAGAGTAGCGACGACAGATATGGAATGGAAAGGAAAAGCCATTCCACCTAATTCCATTGTTTGGTTTCATTTTTTGGGTTAGAAAGGGCTTTCCCTA